TAGAAAATATTTGCGATAAAATCATGTAAGGAATCAGATCGTACACAGCCTAACAATAATTAAATTTATATTACGAAAGATTTTTCAAAAAGATTGCAGAGAAGGATATCTGATGCGCGAAGCAAAATTACTGAAGCGTTCGTTAGCTAAAGTAAAGACCGGGGCGAAAAATAAAGTGGGAAGGCGCAAAATTTGTCTATCGACCGGTCGGAAAAGTCACCCTGTGCAAGGAATTCCACGTAAGGAAGGTGCCATGGGACTCGGATAAGAAGAGAAGGTTGTTTCATCTCATCCTCCACCCCGCTCGTCGTCCCGTCCTTGCCGCGCATAGTTGTTTATATTTAATGTAGCCCATTCGAGATCCGGATGCGCCCCTATCCTGACAGAACTTCTATCCTAGCATCCAACGTGGCCTCCCACCTCGTCCTGCGCCTCGTCCACCCCCAATTTCGTTCCCCCGTTTGGACGACCTGACCCGTGAAAAAGCATATCGGCTCGCCTGATCTCCGCCACCGGGGGATTAATTTTTTTCTCCCCTCTTGCCGACGCTTAATTTAGCGTGAATGGCGAACGCGCCCGCGAGCACTTCCCCGCCTAGAGAGTCGCAAGGGGGGGAGTCGAGTCTCATCCCGTAAGTAAATTTCATCCCGGCAAATGTTTTGCGTTCCTGAATTCTACGAGGATACACGTATTCGCGGTCGGTAATTAAATATACATATGTATGTGTTTACAAAAGCACCTGAAATCTCTCATATTCCTCGTCAATTCAAGTGTTTTTCTCCGCCCCTCGACGCCCGATACGAAAATGATTTTTTTCTCCCGGTTTTTAATTAATAGTAATTTGTATCCCGCTGGTTTCCCGAGTGTGGAAAAAAGCGCGACAAAGGACGACGACAATTTTGAAATTAAACGGGTTAATTACAACTCGCGCCGCAGCGTTTGCGACTTATTCGCCCGGTTTGCTCTCCTCAAGCCGACCGAGAATTACAAGAGGTTTTGTTCGACACGGCCCAGAACTCGCGCGAGTGCACTAACGAGGCACTGCGCGTTAACGCCGTACTATATATACATAACTTGAGTTTCGCCTCTGCATCCTGCACTTTTTTTCCTCGCGATAAGTGCCGTATACATACGTATCTTTATACATATATGCGTTCGCTCACGTGCATAAGTGCACGACCTTAATAAGAAATCGTCGCGTTCTCGCTATATATCCGCGATATATGAGCGATCGAGCGTATATCTCGGATCGATCCTGTACGCGGCTTTTACGAGGATCTTACGAATCTCTCGGGAAGAGAAGAGTAACATATTCTGGACGTAAACGGCGCGAGCGAGGGTCGCGCGCTCTGGCTGGTCTTTTACGTGTATGTCGCTGTATTTTATATTTTTAAAAGCACCCTCTTATCTGATCGCTTTTACGTCGTCTGAAAGGTACGAAAGTTTACGAGTCTTGAAAGGTTTCCGTCTTTATCTGTTTGATTATTTATTTATATCTATTAAATTATATTCAAAAGGGGGGTAGGGAGGAGACGAAGGTGTAAAATGGATGATCATTGATGATTGATCAGTTTATTTATGATTGATTAATTCATTCTACATTAGAGAGCCTTATGATATTATTTAGAAACATAATTAATTGTCTGTTTAAATTATATTTTACTCTTGTATGAATTATAATTACTAGAATAAGAATAAATCTAATAATTATTCATCATCGTATCTCTTTATGACGATTGTTTACGTTTACGTCAATTGTGCCGGTATCGTAACGTCTTATATTTTGATCAGATTACTCTCTATTTCTCGTACGAGCAATGTGAAGGTTTCTTCAAGAAATACCGAAGTGCCGCAATTACTCCTTTCAGATAATTTATTTACGTTTATTAGAAGCGCGTCTTATACGACTCGGAGATGATTACATCCGCAAACAGCCGCGAAATAGAAGATCTGAAAGCATGATCATTAAAATTTCGCGTCCCAATTCAGCGCGTTATTATTGTCTGCATTATACTTTAATGACGCGCTTTCACGTGTTCGAAAATATTTTGCATTCGTATCTTAAATGTATTCTCGTTGCGGCGGCGGCAGTGTTTTCCTCCCTCTTTACGCGCGCAGTACGCGCTCGTTGGTCCTAAAAGCCGTCCGCATCAGAAATTCTCCGGGTGCCATTTTTCGCGGTCCTGCCCCGCACATCTCGAGACACGACTACTGAATAATATTTCAACGAACGCTCGCATATATGTTATTATGATCCTAAGAGCGGCAGTCGCGCCTGCCGCAACAAAATATTTGATGACTACGTTACGGCCTGGATGTTGTGAGTTATATAGCCGAAGGAGGAGAGTGGATGCTCTTCGATAGGTATTAATATTATCTTAATTAATATCGTTCTTCCAAGATGATACAATATACGAATATACGATAAAAGTCATGGTAAGGTCAAAACCGAATTGTTGTAATAGCGCAAGCATGTGACAATTCCTATGATTAGATTCCTTAAACGCAGATAATAAATATTGAATAGAGTTTATTAAATAAAATTATTTTTATATAAAAATAAAAAAAAAGATATAAATATAGATAGACTTTGAATGTCTGAATGAAAACAAAAATTTATCGAGAGTAAAAACGATAAGTTTTTTGCATTAGTTTCACGCACGTCCAGAATAATCTCTCCTATAATGATCTAGCTTCATCCCTTTAATAGCTTCTCAGTTTTTTTTAAGCGGTGGCAAAAAGGATATCAGGCGACTGCTCATTCGCCATGAATCTACCCTAAGTGATTGCGTGGTATATAACTATCGACTACAAGACACCTTTCAACTTCCACGTCTCGAGGGGTTCTCGGTGGTAGTTGAGGGAAGAAAGGGGTGGCACGAAGTTCGCGGTGAAAGGTAGGTGCGGAGGTATACGCGGAATATAAGGACTCCGGTTATAAGGATCGCTTAGCACGCGATTGTCTTCCTGTGGAGTGTCTTTAAGGGCTTTAATCATGCAACTTCGGTGGAAACGCGCGTCGTTAATATTTCGCGATCGCGCCCGCCTTCGCTTTTCAGTCGCTTCGATAACGTTCCATTCGCGCGTCTGCCTATCAGTAACTTTTTAATCAATCATCGCGCGCGCGCTCCATCGCGTGAAACAATCGCCGGTGCCGTTCAACGATGCGATGAGTCACCTAAATGAAGTTTCCCGTTACTAGACGTTAATTTCTTCTCGTAGGAAACGAGAACGTCACTACCGTCGGCGTTCCTGCTCGATTCTGTAATACTTTAGCCCCGTTGCTTGTATATCCTGATTTATTACGAGCGTAAGAGATATTGCGAAAAATCGATAAGCTGGTTACTGAAAGCAATAAGCGACAATCAATTTCAGTGGTGACAAAAATTATGCCAGTTTTTTTTTAAACATATATCTTTTTCTGTACGATATTGTATAACAATTGAGTTAAAGCAATATTAAAATATCGTGATAATTCAAATACGTTGTAATAATAATTCTCAATAAATATATCTCTAAATATATATATATATATATATAGTTATACCGCGTCATTAGCATATTTCCTTTTCAGTATAGCAACGTTATACGGCCGCCTCTTGCAACAGCCTGGCGTTCTTTATATTTTACATCGAATATAGATAGAATCCTGCTGTCTCTTTAACGTTTCAGCAAGAATATAGGAATGTGCAATCAAGAAATATAAGACGATAGCATTTTTTTTCTTATCGCTAGATCGTAATTTCTACTCTCGTTTAATATCAAATTCATGTAATACTCGTGAATACTCGTGTCGCACAGTTCTTAAAATTAATCGATGCATTGCGTACTGCGTACATGTGACACATATCAGTGAAACAGAGAAGCCGGTGTGTATCGGCTCGTAAAGGTCATCTGCGGAGGCACGTGCACGTCTTCGTCTCGCCGTTTTAATATCAACGTCGATACGCGATCCACGCGCATTCGGCATGTCAGGATAATCACCATCTCTCAAGGCTCGACACTTAGATACAATGATTTTTAATATCCTCGAACAACATTCCAAACCACTACCTTTTACATCGATATAGCTACTAATATATTCGACGCATTCTGAATATAAATTAATCATAAAATAGCAAACTAGATATTTTCGCATTTTACATTTAACAGCGCGTGCTCTCACGTAATATGAATATTTATAAATATATCATATTAATAATCCAAAGAGCATCCCCGAATAATATTACGTCGTTACAACGTTAATTAATTAAGGGAAAACTGGACGGCTATGTCAAAAGTTAATAAATCTAATATATTTCAAAATTTATATGAATTTGATATTGTGCAAAGCATTTTTAGCCTTTAAAAAATTAATTTAAAATTAATAATTAATTTATGAGTTAAAGTAAATATATGTGCCCTGTAGAATAAAATCGCAAAATTGTAAATATAATCTTTTATATCGAACTAATTTTTTTATAGTGGCTGTATCACGAAAATTTTATAATGACTGTACATAAAAAAATTCAGGAAAATAAAAACTCCTCCTCTTAATAATCCTCTTATTAATTATAAATTAGAATTAAAGCTACGTT